TCCTTTTGATTTTGAGAAGAGAATGAATTTTTATTATTTTGAGCCAAGTCCTTAGATTTTTGCTTCACAAGAATTGTTTTTGTTTCACAAGATTTGCTTTGGAATTATATTCCGTGCTTCATCCTCCTTTTCCTGAATCCTACTCTCTTCCTCCATGCGAAGAGATTGATGAAGTTGATCTAACTAAACATCAACCTTTTTGTGCTTCATTCCCTTTTGGTATTCTTTCCAAGAGGGGAGTAACTAATGTATCATTGTCCCTACTTGATAAGCTTCATAAAGATCAATTCCATTGTCTTTGAGTTCACTTGCAACAAGTTGCAACTCATACACTTTGTTGAGTATTGGCTTGTTGTCGGTGAACTTGAATCTCAAATAATTAGAAATTAAGAAACGTTGGTTACCAGATTCTTCCAACAAATGCTAAAGTTCCCTCGTCGATGCCACCGAGCAATAAATGTCATAAATCGGACGGGTAAGCACTGTTTAGATATGACCCTTGCATATGTAAATCATTTTCTATCCATTTCTGTCGATAGTTGGATAATTCAGGTCCTACTCTTCATGTGGTGATGGCAACTCTGACAAATTATAGGTAACCTATAAGCCACCTTAAGTGTGGTCAACAAAAACATAAGCTTTTGTTGACACGTTTTGAAATTTGTCCCATCGAATCTATCTAGTCTAGTTTTACGAATCTATCTAGGCTAGTTTTGTAAAGTCTTGACTCATAGCTTTGATGGAACTCATACTGCTTCCATTGCTTCACCCATATTACAGTCTTGAATTTTCAAAAAATTAGTGTAGGGTGAAACGGGGTCTGAAAATTGTAGTAATAAAGGAATCATCATCATCGTCAAATCCTTTTCCTAACTAATTAGGGTTGGCTACACGAATCCTGGTCTGCCATTCTACTCTATTAAGGATCATACTCTCAGTGAAGCCATAAGTACCATATCTTTTCTCACTACATCCAACCATGTCCTTTTGGATCTACCCCTTGTCCTTTTTGAGCCTTCCACTTAAACTAACTCTCACCTCCTAACAAGTGGCGTACTGGGTCTGCGCCACACATGGCTAGCCCACCTAAGTCTGCTTACTCCCTCTAATCTTATTGCCTATTGGTGCAACATCTAAATTTTTCTGAATGTTTTCATTTCGAATTCTATTTCTTCTTGTCTTGCCACTCATCCATCTCAACATCCTCATATCCGCTAAACTCATTTTATGAGTATATTATTTTCTGACAGCCCAACATTCCCCCCCATAGAGCCAAGCTAGTATCACAGTTGTCCTATAGAACTTGCCATTCAGCTTCATTGGTATGCGGCGATCACATAAAATTCTAGTTGCACATCTCCACTTTGCCCACCTAGCTCTAATTCTATGTGCGACATCTTCTCCAATCTCTCTATTTTCCTGGATTATCGACTCTATATATCAAAAATGCGTTTCTTTTTGTATTTCAGGGCCGTCAATATTCACTACTTACCTCATCTCTACTCCTGTTATTACTAAAATTACATTCCATATACTCTGTCTTAGTTCGACTAATTTTAAAACCTTTATATTGTAGAACACCCCTCTAAAGTTCTTTGTGTTAGCGCCATTTCAGGTCTCATCGATCAAAACTGTCATCTGTGAACATGTACCTCATCTTGTAGGTCTTTAGTTGAGTTGTCCATGACTAAGACAAAAAGGTATGGACTCAATGCTGACCCCTGATGTAGACCTATTGTTACTGAAAAGTTACTCGTCTCTCCTTTAGTTAGTGCTTCATCATCCATATCTCTCACCAAGTCGATGTATTGTATAGAGATTCATTTCTTTTTCAACACCCACCAAATCTAAATTCGAGGTACTCTATCATAAGCTTTTTCAAGATCAATAAAGACCATGTGGAGGCCTTTTCCTTTCGTCTTAAACTTCTCAATCAATTGGCTAAGTAGGAAAATAACCTCGGTTGTTGATAGCATAAAACTGAACTGGTTTTTTAATACATTTGTTTTATGTCTTTGTAGTTGCTCAATCACTCTCTCATAAAGCTTTACAGTGTAGCTCATAAGCGTGATTCCTCGATAGTTTGCTTAATGTTTTGTCTCTGTTAGTGCGTATTTTTTATGCTCTCCTTTTCCTAATGCGAACAAAAAAGCAGGCGGTTGCAACCAAGCCCTGTAGGTACTAGACACGCCTATGGACTACAGAAGCCCTACGCACAAATAAGCCTCATTTTGAGGAGCAATAGTTGTGATGTCTTCTTGGACCCAAAAGATGTAGATGAGCCTCTTATGATACCTCAAAGACACCCTCCAAGTTTTGTTCCAATTGGGTAAAGGTGCGAGAAACGAACAAAGATTTAGTTTGGAGTAACGCTTTCTAACGTGCACGAGATGAACTATAGATAAAACTCCTTGATAATGATCTATGATGATCATGAGACCACCGCAGATGAATTCTAAATTCCGAAACTAGATTGTCAGTCAAATTCAGCTCAAACGGACATTCCTAGGTCCTACTTTCCCAAAATGGCGAGGCTCTTCACTATTCACTTGCATCACTAAGAAAGAATTTCCATTTATGGAAACTGTGTTTTTCAAAAACGAGAATTCTTGTGAGAGTCATATCTCCTTCGTTTTGAAGCCAATCAAGCTGAAATTTTAATATTTCGTTCTTCTCGTAGAGATGAATATTTTGACATATGGCACGTCCCAGGACAATGCCCGAGACAGGAGAAATCTTAGAGAGAAGTTTTCCTGGAAAGTGCTTTATGCAGAATTTTACATGCAAAACGTCTCTTCACTTCGATGGATGTTTCTCAGAGCCCTTAGATCCGATGACTTAAAAACAGACCCATTGTGATCGTGACTCGAAGGATTTTGATTTGAGGTAAGATTTGCTTGAAGATAAGGCTGGAAGACAGCGTACCAAAGCTTCATTTATGCCAACGGTTCCTTCTTCCACTATGTTCCCATTGTGTTCATCATTTAATAATTTTTGAAAATAAACTCTCCACCTTTCGTTGACCTTTTCATCCTTCACCAATGCCCTTTGATCCTCACGCTTAATACATTTAATATGGTCTAGATTCCTACACTTTTTCTCTCTCATTTTTACTAATTTGTAGCAATAAAGGTATGAAAGACATAAATAGGACTTTCCTGTATACAACCACGTTGTGCGCTCTCTCAAGATTGTAATTTACAGCCTTACTGTAGAATAAGTGTGTGCAAAAGGTAACCCGGGCAAATCTATCCTCGGGATATCTGTAAACAGAAGGTCAATGATGATACTCGCCTAATTTTGGACAGTATAGGGAAGTCTACTTAGCACTAAAGTTGCATGAATCTGGAGAGAGAGTGGCTCGTTTTTTTGTTTTTAGATAGATAAAGATAGTAAGAAAATATTGAGAGAGAATTTGAAATTGTAATAAGGTAGTTCAAAAAGAGGAGTAAAAAGTCCCTTTTAAAGAGTGAATAGTGGTTATTAATGTGACTATTCGCATGACAAATGACTATTGGTTTCCAACAGTCATCATCCAATGGTTACCAACAGTTGGATCACTTAACAATATAAACGACTGGTGTCCCAGCCGTTGGAACTCGCACGCGCCACGCTCGCACCCCTTCACAGACGTGTGGGCACGAGTTGTGTCAAGCAAAAATGAATTGAGCCCCGAGCCCATCCCATACGTGCTCGGGTGTGGGACGTCTCATATGCCGCTGCGAGCAACTGCAAAATGTGCCATCAAACACCCTTGCGCCCTCGCACATGGGCGTGCATGCGTCGTACAAGCCACACTTGCTCCTTTGTTTCATGAGCATAAATCATTAAAGTGTTCTTATATTTACATGACTCTTTTCACACTCCACTCTTCAATGTGGGACTAAAACCCACTACTTTCTCTTCTATGTATTTAGAACTTAGGAAAACAATATTTATAAATATATTATTTTGAAATAACTTATAGTATTTTATTTATACTAAAATACTAACACATTTGAGCATATATTGGAACACATCAGATATCCTCTAGCACAAGTTTAGATCTTTCTTGAGGTATCCCCACATATCTTCCCAAAAATACCTTTTTGTAAATGATTTTTCTCTCGTCTACGATGACATTTATCCAAATGAGCTCCTTAGTGAGAATCTTTTGGTGTTCACATTACTAGGAATACCACTGATAAACTTGCCACTACAAGCTATCACAGTTACTCATAGAGTTGGGCACGCATTCCAGAGTAAATTACATTTACACGTTTTCAACATTATTATTTATTCTAACTCCTGAGTCTTTTTTGGAACATATGTTTGAGATGATATTGTGCTGTAGGCTCTCATCGTGTTGAGCATCCCCAATTTCTATTGCTATACTAATATAATTTTCTCAAGTTTTTGATTTTTCTTAGCTGCTGTAGAAGTCATTTTGTTCTGTAAGCATGTAGCATGCCGTATCCTGCTGAAGTGCTTGTCCATCTGACTGCTCGCCCTGTTCATTGTCTGCTCATCTGTGGTGCTGTGTAGATTGTGTGCATCTTTTTTTATGCATATGCTGGGTATGTTTCAAGTGGTCTAGTTGTCAAGTATTGTCCATTAGCATTTAACACTTAGACTATATCTTTTTTTTTATGCATATGATGGGTACGTTTCAAGTGGTCTCGTTGTGAAGTATGTCCATTAGCATTTAACACTTAGACTACATCACCTACATCGCTATTGAGCTACGTTATATTGCTTTTGTGTGTGTGTGTGTTGTGTGTGTCTTTGTGTTTTTGTGTGTGTACGTCTGTGTGTGAGAGAGAGAGGGAGAGAATCTTTTCTAGAAGCTTCTGACTTCCATTAGTATTCCATATACTATGTTATGTATTCTTGTAATATATTATAGACGATGTTGAAAGCACCTTCATATATGCTTTAATTAGTCACTATTTTGAAGAATTGGCGGTATACAGTTATGTGAAGTATGGCTTGACTTGATTTCTTTTGCCATGCAATGCCAGAACTCTATGGAAAGGGATGAGGAGGATGAGAAGGAGGGCGTGTTGCAAATGAACAGTGAACATGCTCTTCTTGCATATTCCCCACCTTATCTGCTGCCCTTGAACTTCACATCACCACAGTCTAGCACCATCCAACCACTGGTGTCATCAACGTAGTCAGTGCCTGAGCTAAACTGTGTGTGTGTATGTGTAGTTATGGAACCCCTGCACAGATTTGTCATGAAATCTGTGTTAAATCCGCAACCATGATTATAGTTGTATGCGATGTTGTACTTTGTTTATAATGAAGCTATGTCGAATACACTTCCAAGCATGAAAGAAAAAGTTGGCTTCCCTTCATCTCTCATGTATCTATTCCCATAACAGTTTTTACTCTGTGATGTCCATACATTACATGCACATACATCCACAACCGTCAGGATAGCAGTTAACTGTTGCTTTATTTGTATATTTTTTTTTCTTATCAGTGGGGATGGCGGGAACAATTGCAATATCAAATAGCAACAAAGGATTTAAATCATTTGAGGGGTGAGACCGCCATAATGTTGCTTCTGTCATGTGTACTGCCTTCTATACTGATAGTCAGCAATCATATTGGCCTCCCTGTATTTGTGAAAAATCTGTTTTATTGAAGAAAAATGAGTCTGGATACAATCATTTTACACCCCTAGTGTAGTGAACAATTGCAATATCAAATAGCAACAAAGGATTTAATCATTTGAGGGGTGAGACCGCCATAATGTTGCTTCTGTCATGTGTACTATACTGATAGTCAGCAATCATATTGGTCTCCCTGTATTTGTGAAAAATCTGTCATTGGTCTTTTGCAAATGAGGATAAATTAGGTCTGCACTTAGCTGAGACTACGTGTAGCTTCCATGGGGGCTTACATATTTGTTTCAAGGATCCCACGAGCCATTTGGAGTCACTTTCGATAATCAGGGCTTTGCAATTAAGTTCCTTTGCCAGAAAAGAAGCATGGAATTCTGAATTGAGGCCCAGGGGCATTGCAAAGGCACCTATGAAACCACCTTAATACGTCCGCATCCAGCATTAAGGTTGAAGGGACCAAGACGGGGAAGCGACCATGCCACTTGTATTGGAGCAGGAGACAGCTCTGCTTGCCAGTGCAACTTGAGATTCTCACATGATTCTGCGCTCCAAGTGGTGAAAACCCAGACTTTTACCTTTGCAAGCGAGCCAACAAAGTGTATGATTCGCCTCAACAAGTTTTCCCTGGATGTCTTTCCTAGGTGAGAGTTGCTTCTTTCCATAAGCACCAGATAATGATAGAAAAGATAGACAACCAGATTTGTCGTTCCAAATTATTTTAATTGGAACTTAGTGCAGGGAATAAAATTTGAACACTGCCCAGGTATTCAACAAAAGTTGAGTTTGATATTTTTTCATGTCTATTACAGTCGGGAAAAGGTTGCATCGGGGCATGCTCGAGTGTACAAATGCACATGCAGGGGTTTTGCTCTACCACCCATATCTCAAGTGTATGTAATTGCACATTCGGTTGACATTCATGGTTTTGTGGCTTGATGATTCGGTTTAACTTGGTAACGTTCACAAGAGTACTCTGTACTTCTTTTGACCTTAAGAATATTGAACTAACCAATATGATGTTTGGTGGTTTTGTGGCTGGATGATTCGGTTTAACTTGGTAACGTTCACAAGAGTACCCTGTATTTCTTTTGACCTTAAGAATAATGAACTAACCAATCTGATGTTTGGCTGGATTGGTGTTCACTTGGATTGGTGGGCCAGATCGTTCACCTATACATCTTTGTCAAATGGTTGGATCGGTGATCTGTATCGGGTTTGAATTGGTCATTTAAAAGATATGAAAAAATGAAGGACACAAAATAAAATTGAAATAGGGGTTTATAGGGTAGGATTTAGAGGGGATATAAAAAAACAATAGATAACTTAAAACAATATATATATATATATATATATATATATATATATATAGAGAGAGAGAGAGAGAGAGAGAGAGAGAGAGAGAGAGAGAGAGAGTAGTACGTCGTGTCGACTACCTACCTACCACCTACGTACGTGTACGTACGTACGACTACTACTACTACTAACTTAATTTAACGTTTA